AACCAACTGCACAAGCATTTCGAAAATGTTTAAATATAGATATTTATCTGCATTGTATTATTTCAGAACACGATATGATAGATTCTCTTTTGTTTAAAGTTACGTGCAACATTTGTCAACACGTGACAAGTCATAAAATATTTCCATGAATTTTGAAAAGTACACTCATATGTATAATACAAGTTATTTGATGTACAATACTTTTATGAGGCTATAACTAGTAAAACAAAGAGCTTCATGGTGAAAAATGTTTTCATTTCACTAGTAACAATCATTGTCTGTCGTATTCAAAGCATGTGTGATGATAGCAGTACTAGAGAATTGCAAGTTACTCTATTTTCGGATTTCTGCCCCAGTCTCAAGGTCTTGAAACAAAGAACAATTTTGAAAAGGTCTATTTTATTTGGACATGTGTTTTGCTTCGAGTGATGGTTGATTTTGTTTACGTTGCACCGCATTCTCACATTCTTTCGAGTATGGGACGTCTCAAACTTTGCAGAAATGTTTTCTTCAAAAAACTGGCTATTTCAGTAGCTTCTACTGTGCTTCTTAAATACAAGCAAAAGGGATAGTTGGCTATTAGACCGAATTTCTGCTGATTTGCCTCTAAGCATACTGAATGATGTTATGTCAAAATAATTGTGATAAATTCTGGAAGTACCTGAACTCCTATATCGTTTAATTAAGGTATTATTTCAAAAGGCTAACAGATTGGTGAAAACACTTAAAATGTAAGGAGAAGAGGACTCGACCGTATGGTGTGAGTTTAAACCTTTTCTTCATTCACATCCTCACACGTCACGCACACAAACACACCTCACAATTCTCATTTATGTGTTTGGAATTCTTTTAATCTTTATTATCTTTTTTTAGAAAATACTCAATTTTGACAAATTCATTTGTAGATCGATCATAAATATATATATAGGTAATTGTTAGTTGTTTTATTTTGGCTAGTAGCGAAGTCAAAAGTCCAATTGAAAAATGCTTAGTGAAAGTATCGTTATATATTGTTAGTATGTAGAAAACTGGAGTATAATCGAATCAGAGTAGTGTATATTTAATCACTTCATCACCATCAAGAACCACGTACAAATTGAGATCCGAGTCGAATGCAACATCCATGGGAGCATTGGGCACAGGTGTTGTGCCATTTTCTCCAATTACAGGAATACCCACTGTTGAATTGACACAATACAGCACTATTCGATCGTTACCATTATCGGCAACATACAAATTATTAGAAGAATCGTAAACGATACCTTGTGGTTTGTTAAGAGTAGTTTTAGTACTACTGACTTGAGTTAAAGTTGTAGTCGGAGCTGATTCATTAAATTTCCACAGATATATAGAATTTGTTTTACTATCACTCAAATAAACTTCATTTGTTGAATTAGGAGCAAATAAGATTCCAACTACCCCATCACTATTGAAATCACTAATCATAACGATACCACTTGTTGCATTCGGAGGCCATTTCATCAATCGTTGATTTTTTGAATCGATGACATAAAGATTTAAATCATCATCAACAACCATATCTGTAGGTGTATCAAGCTTACTAAGTGAAGTTCCTGTACTACCAGTCCCAGCAACGGTCGTACCAACGGCTGAATTGGGAGGAAAACGTAAAACTTCATTGAGTTGATGCCCGGTAACATACATGTATCCATTTTTGTCAAAAGTAAGATATTGAGGATGTGGAAGTGAAGTTGCACCCGAGCCAGCACCAGTACCAGCTATTGTGCTACCACTTGTCGCACCTGTCAGCCATTTTTGAACACGATCGTTATGATGGTCACAAACATAAAGTGTATTGCTTGCATCGATAACCAAACATGCTGACTTATCAAATTGAGTAGAACCAGAACCAGCTGATCCTGTGCCTGCAATTACTTTACCAGTTTGATTCCATCGAAGATGAGCACCTAAAGTGATAATGTATATTGTATACATGCAATCATTTTAGCATAAAATAACTCACATGCATCGTAGACAGTCGTAGTCGTTGTGGCTGAAAATAAATTAAGGTTAAGGTTCTATAAGATTCATGATTAAACCGTAAAACATACTTGTAGAAGTGCTAGTTGACGTCGAAGTTGTTGTAGTTGATGTTGTTGTAGTTGACGTAGTTGTCGTTGTTGTAGTTGTCGTTGTTGTAGTTGACGTTGTTGTTGTTGTTGTAGTTGACGTAGTTGTCGTTGTTGTAGTTGACGTAGTTGTTGTTGTTGTAGTTGATGTAGTTGTTGTCGTTGTCGTCGTTGATGTCGTTGAAGTACTTGTAGTTGACGTTGTTGCTAGATATTTGATAGGAATTTTTTAAATTCTGGATCACACATTTCTACTTACAAGTACTTGTAGTCGCAGTTGAAGTAGTCGTTGTTCTGTTTGGTTGCATAACTAACAAGTAATGAAATGTCTTGTTAGTTTTTCTCCCTGTCTGAACTATCTTGCAAAAACATCTCAATAAATACTTTGACTTCAATAGAATCACAAGACATCAAAAATAAAAATTCAATATTTGAATAAGTTATTCGACAAATATGATCATCATATTTCTACTAGACATATCAGCAGTTATCCATGTTGTTGATTGCATGAAATGATGCAATATCTTTATTTTTTCATCGCCAATAGACTGATTTTGTTTGGTTCTCACGGAAAAGCTTAATATTTCTTGGTACTAAACAATGAATTAATCTCTATCTGGTTTATCTCATAACTTCACTTCATAAAGAAAAGTAAAAGTTTCCAAAATATTTAATAGAGACACTTGCATGACAATCCGAATGTCATCATGTTTCCACTATATGAAATGGACTCTGTACAAAGTATGTACGAATTAAAGTAGGGTGAAACATCAGTTGAAATGAAGATAACTAACTAAAAGCAAAAAGCAAAAGCAATGAACTATTGAGTTTTTATCTAGATAATTTTCATAATCTGAAATCTTACGAAAGTGTCAACAAAAATCATGCATTAGTTGTTTATCTAATTACGAAATGTCAGAATCGCTGATTGATTGATATACTTTGTTTTAAATGTTCAAATAAAGATTTCTGTCTCGTTCATTGATACCCAATAAACAGATTTTGGCAGCTATAATCAGCAGTAGACTGTAGGAAACTCAAATTTTCCAGTTATTTTTGTCTGAAAAAAAATCAGAATCATGTGTTTTCAATTATTTCTAGGCAACGATATTCTGAAACGAAGTTTATCAGAATTTTCCACGAATCTATGACTGTCTTTGGTTATACTTTATTCATGTAGGTACATACCAAGAAGCACAATAGTCGTAATGATTGCTGCAAGCAAAATCAACGCCAAAATAGCACCCATCAGAATGTAACAACAACATCGCGTGATATAGAGTCCTTCACGTCTTCTGAATTATAAATCGGCAAAGTCAAAATTAGATATGGCCGTACAGGAAATAACTTACCTTTTACGTCTCTTCTTTTGCTTATCATTATTGTTTTGTTGAGCATTATCAAAAAATTGAGAGTCTAATTGAGCAAAATTGTTACCTGAACTATTTTTTGTGCAGACTCTTTCATTGAGTGGTGTAACTCTATTTTGAATCAAAGGAGATAATGGAAAATTTTGCCGTGATGTCTGATACGCCTGTAAACGAACAACCAAAACTGGTCAGAACAAAGAAAAAAAAACATCACAAATTCAACGACATGTTGAGTATTCAGATTATAGATTTTCAAATGTTCTATTAAAATTTACAATTGAACTATTAAATAAAAAAAATCAAGAGTTGTCATATTTCTTATTTTTTTGTTTGTAGTTCAAAAACATTCTCGGAAAAGGATAGATGATAGAACAGTAGTAATGATAAGCCGTATCGAAGTAATAAACGATTTTTCTTGCCGATTTCAAAGCAATGCTATGCCAGTAAATTAAGACTTTTGAAATTCTAACATTCGAATAGTATATGGCATATGTACAAATATTCTGAGAAGCTTCTACAGTCTGTTATCTAATACCACTTTTTTATCAATATCAGCTACAATCAATTAGTTGACTCCGTTGCTAGTTTTAATAGATTAAAAGTATTTTCCGAAAAATCATCACAATATGTTCATATTAAACTCTTTAGATAAAGTCATTCCTAACCATATTTCAGGCATCTTTTTCTACGAATCAAAAAGCTTTTTCATTTTCTTCATTATGAATATCATAGATTTCTATTTAGTTCCTATAAACTATTGCTGAGAATCAGTAAAATGCCTCTATTTTTCAAACAGATAGTAACAGTTGAGTGTGCCATAGATACGCTTCCTTCAAACTACGAGAGGCAAACGGTATTTAATATTGTCATCAAACAACTTGGCATGTAACTACTCGCACATGTTAAAACCTAACAGAATTGTACTCGTATACTTAGAATTCAATTTTATTCTCCCATTTTTTGTTCTGCGCGTGAATATCATCGCATAGAATATGAAATGCTAGCTATAGTGGGAAAGTCTTAAAGTGCAAATAAATTTATTCCTGAGAAAGACACATTTTCTTTAGTCGATCACTACTGATTTATCAAATGGTTTTATAATTGTTTTGCATTCTCAAGATAATATTCAGATAAAACTTGAAATTCTACATAGGGAAACCTCTTTTATCCAGAATATGTTCAAAGGAAGGAGAATATACATTATTTGATGTTCGATTGAATACGAATTCTAACACTTTTGGTCTCATTGTTTAATGTCAAATTTATTCTATATCACCCATTGCTCATTTATGAAGCGAGAGAAATAAAATATCCTTCTGAGATAATTCTTTTCTTCAAGGAGTTGGTAGTATTCGAGACTTCGATGAGTACTGAGGTGTTGAAAACGAGTACTCAATAGAATATAGATTTCGAGTGATCGGAATCCGATGGTCATCGAATGATTCGAAATAGGAAGAGAACGAACAAAAAAAATATATATTTCAAATTTTGAAAAGTGAAAGCAACGTACTTGTATGAATTCTTTTTTCTTTCTTTTGAAGAATCAACTAATCAATACTGAAATAGCTGCTGATGAAGAAACACATTCAATTAAAGATTTTACGCATAAAGTTTTGCTTCATTCATTCGCATTTGAACTGTCCCAATCAAGATTCTAAAAGAGCTCCGTGAAACAACGTAAAATTTAGCCGGTTTTCTCTGACGCATTGTCATACTGTTCATATAGTCTCAAGAGTTCGGTTCTATATCAATTTTTTCCACTTTTTTCGCTAAAGCTTAACCCATTAAAAGCTTTTAAATTAAGATATAAATTGAATTTCTCTTTAAAAGTAATTAGTAGATGTTATTTCGAATACATTTCAAGACTTTTCGCTTTGGAATTTAAAGTAATTTTCCAAAATAATCGATCTAGATAATTTCTAGTCTTCAATATATGGTACATGATGTAATTAGCCTATGGTCATGTTCGATATTGCACGAAACTTTACACACTATATTCAATGTATCTAGAAGTGTTTATACTTGAAAAAAAAATAAAACAAACACGATTGTTATTGAGTTGTGAGGTATATAGGGAGAAATTTGAATCGTTCCTTTCTCTACAGGCAATTTTATCCTTGGAGACAGTCATATTGCAACCCTGTGTTCAATAAAAGAAGCAGAATTGTGTTTTAAATTTTTATCAAGATGAGAATTCAGATGAAAGGTTTTAGAATAGTTTTCATTTTTCTTATCGCCTTAGGCGAGAAATGGATATGAGTCAATTGAAAATCTTTTACTTTGTTTAGCATGTTAGATGTTTTCACAACGCTCGAATACCTGACTTGCACTATTTTGAGCTTTCAAATTTTGATTTTCTTTGTGTGAATGAACTAATGGACGGAACATTTGACTTTGGTCAATAAATGATGTTTCATTGAATGATAGATTGTTAAACGATGACATTGATATCTCTAATTGGCTCTTTTCTACAATGAATTGTTCGGCATTATTTGACGGACATATTATCTGGCTCTGATCTTTCAATGGTAAACTTTTTATCACAGGATGGCTTGTTGATCGTTTGATTCGTTGCACTTGAACAGACGAATCTCTGGGTTTTTCGACGCATGCAGAGACTTCATTTTGCTATTAAAGTACGTATTTTTTAGCATATAACTTAGTACATTTTACTAGATACATACCCGCACTATTTGTCTACCAAGACGAATTACTCTTGGTGTATTTTCTTTCGATGTCATGATACCAAATTTTAAGCTCTATCCGTCTTCTAAAATGAACAACCTTTAAAAGAGTATATGTACAACACAATGAGATTTCGAAATGCGGACATAAAAAAAAGATTCAAACAAACCAGAAGACTTTTGTTTAATAATATTCTTGAAACAAAAGAAAATATCACTGAGCGAATCGAAACATATTGCTTAGTTACGATAGAATAGAAATAATGAAGAATAAGAAGGTTTTTTGTTTCTCTATAACTAAGGCGAAAGATAGGTAAAGTAAGTGTTTTCTTATAACTAGTCAAACTGAGTCGCCTATGTTGTCGTGATGACTTATCAAACGCCTTGTATAAATACAGTCCCTATTCAAGTCAAAGTAGACAATTTTGACAAGTGTTGATACATGTTGCTCATTTTTAAGACTAAGTAGCAATTGTTTATTACAAAAAAGTGAAGAGCGATTCGAGATACTTGACAGACTTTAAAAAACGAAAAAAAAAACGAAAAAGTCGTTTCCAAACAACTTCTGACTTGGCTTTACAAAAGTCTACTGAGCTTATCGAGAGTGTGGGTGTTTGATTCTCTGTGTGAATGATGTTCACTCACACAACTCAGTTCATAGTCAAAGAAAAAAGAACAAAACTTGCATGGTTTATTCATGGAGGAATCTAATTTGTAATATATTTTTATTGGATTGAATAAAGCACATTTTGTGCGCAACACTTTAAGGGCTTTTTTTCATTATATTTCATCGAGTTGAGCTGAATTTCGATGAATTAAAAAATCCAACCTTGTTTTACTGTATTGAAACTGAATGTAAATGTGAGGTATCCATTATGAAAAATATTTTGATTTCTTTTTTTCTCTGACGTAGAATAATTCTATGACGATCACAACAAAGTAAATCAGGTTGTATGCAACCAATCGTATCGAGCAAACAAGATGGTTTTTTTCTCTTTTGTGTGTGTGAAAGTTTTGATTAAAAAATCCTGCGTTGTTTCTAATCCAAAAAACATACAATAGAATCGAACTGTAAAGTTCGAATTTAATGAAATACTTCCATGATTGAATATTTTTATCAAACAAGCGAAATCGAAGCAATCATTTGTAGAAACATCTATATGATAGTATTAAGCTTTTCAACATCACGAACAATGAATTTTCTCCAATTATTCGAATGGTCGATAGATTTAACATCGATCACACGTAAACTAG